CCAAACCTGTGGTTAGAACAGATGGAAATATCTGCAGTTTTCTCACTACCTATTGAAAATCCCATCCCCACTCTAGTTTAGGACTTAACTTTAATATGTTTCCCTGACAAAGCACAAGAGATTGGACGGGGATTTTGGTGATTTATTCTCAGGAAGTCCTCTAGGCTTTCAGAGATACAAAGCCATTTCATAAACTACCCACAGTGGCGGCGGCAAAGGTGCTACCATGCCTTTCCCCGTAACGTCAGAAGGAACTGAACCACATGAGCAGGGCTGGTGGTGACACTGTTTCCTATGTTAGCACTGTCCCAACCACAAGTGTCCCATTAGAACACCTCTCACTGGTAACACATGGATCACATATGAATTGGTCATAGCAGCATGCCGCTACTGAGAAAAATCCACCAAGCAAAAGGAATTCAGCTGTTGTCCACAAGCCTATTCGTAAATTTATTCTTGGTTGCAGTCACCCGTGCCAGAAAAAAGAAGGGGGGAAGCGAGGCTATTTCCTCCGGAGAAATTTGACCCACAGTGGCACGATCACACCTCCCTTCCAAGCTGTGGGGGCAGACCATCAGTGTGTGATCAGATGCAACTGCAGGTGAGTCTTTTTTTGTGTGCCGTTTCCCCCCAGGTGCTTAACCGAGGGATCGATGAATCGCACCTCCGCACTGAGGGCTCCCTATGGAGTTTGCGATGATGCACATACTGCGAAGGGGGAGAAAAACAACAGCACGGAGTCGGGATGGCCTGATCAGACCATCCTGACGCCATGAGAGCGCGCTGGAGCAATCAGACACAGGAAAGTCCGTTCGTTGCCCGTCGCAACCCGTTTCCTACCGGATTTTCCCCAGTGTCTTTTAACTCCGCTTCTGTGGCGGAGCAGAACGGGTTGCCGACAGCTGCGGGGCGCTTCCCAGATGTTGCTGTCTGATCGTGCCCTTTAAATCCGCCCGGCATTTGGGCCTATGTTGGGACTAATTGTGGGTATGATTGCAGCCCTTGAGAGGGGGAGAAAGACAAATGAAAATGCCAAATGCAGGACACTCACGTCATAATTTAAGAATAAGCTCTTTGCTCTTGGCTCGCAGACTGTGGCCCTGAGTGAGCCAGGCCAGTAGATCCAGAGCCAGTTGGGATATTATATTATTTGTGTTCCCTGTTTGATTTAATTTGTATTTTTGTATTTTGATTGTATTTTTGTATTTTGTAAGACGCTTTTGGGTCCTCATTGGGGAGAAAAACGGGATGGAAATCCTCAAATAAATAAATAAATAAATCTTTATCTATGCATGTAGAAAATCTTCATGCTGCCTCTTCGGAGAATCTACCCTGACAAAATAAAACCTGCAAATGACAAAATAAAACATAATAGAACATAAAACATTAAAGGTTGTTCATTAAGTTCCAAAATATATTTTTTTACAGTTCTGGTGAGACATGGGGCTCTAAGAGCAACAGATGCCTGACATAGTTCTACGCAATTCTGGACCAAAACAGTGCTTGGAGAATACATGGGAGCCTCATGTATGCGATAACAAACAAAAAGATTATTCCGGAAACGCTGAATCTCAGTATGTGAAGAACAGAGCTGATGCATACGGCTTAAACTTGAAAATCCCAAATCACCAAATATTTGTTACAATCAAAGAAAGATTTCCCATTGCTCACAATCCTATGTGGAATTAATATATCCACCTATCAGCACTGGAGTGGAGCACAGGGCAGTAGTTCATCCTAGTGTCCACTACAAGTTGCAACGATGCAATACTTATTTATTTAAAATATTTATATCTATACTTCTTATGAACTGCTATGATCAGAAGAAGAAGAGGAGGAGGAGGAGGAGATTGGATTTATACCCCGCCCTTCAGTCGGAGTCTCAGAGCAGCTTACAAACTCCTTTCCCTTCTCCTCCCCCCAACAGACACCCTGTGAGGTAGGTGAGGTAGGTGGGGCTGAGAGAGCTCTGACAGAAACTGCCCTTTCAAGGACAGCTCTGACAGAACTATGGCTTGCCCAAGGTCATCCAGCAGCTGCAAGCGGAGGAGTGGGGAATCAAACCCGGCTCTCCACACACTTAACCACTACACCAAACTGGCAGAACAACCCCAACTTGGGTCATTCCTCATTCATAAAGATCAGGAGTTGGGGATGATCTAACACACACCCAGGGTAGGTGTGCAAGGGAGTGTATTCTACTGTCCACATTTTCCATTCAAACGCCTCCCAAGAAGAGTTAATTCTAGTCTTCTCCCTCCCCCACCCCCGGGTAAAACAGCTAGAAGAGCTCCCCTTCCCCATCCTGGAGGAATTCAGTCATGACCTAATTTTGATATACATATCTGTCTCCACCACTCTGAACTGCTCTTCCTAGCTGAGTGGGGAGGGGAGCTGTATGGTGGATGATCCAGAAATGGCAAATACATTTCATGTGAAGATATACTATCTGTCTCATGATGCCAAAAGAATCCCCTTTCTGCTTCTATTCAACTTTCTCACAGGAAAAGCAGATTCACTTTGAGAAATCTTAGGACAAGATAATACGGAAAAATTCAGTTCCAAGCATGGCCATCAACCACCGCCTCCTACTGTGTTTGGAAGGGTGGAAAAAGAACAAAATGAAGCACTTTTTCAAGACCAGGTTGTTGTTTCTTTTTTAAAGAAGAGGTTTGTGGCCTAACGGTACTAAAATCTGGAGAAGAATATGATACTCATCCCTAAAATTAAGCGAGCCTAACAAACATGCTGTTTCCGTTTGTCCATAAAATGAAACTCACCCCTGCAAATCTCAGTGCCAACACGCCAACGGTGGCATTCAAACCTTTCTGTATCGGATTCAGGTGGGGTAGCTGTGTTGTTCTGAAGCAGCAGAACAAAGTTTGGTTCCAGTGGCACTTTTAAAACCAACAAGTTTGATTCACGTCATAAGCTTTCGTGTGCAAGCATACTGTGAAGCCTGCTTGCACGTTAAAGCTTATACTGTCAATAAAACTTTCCTGGTCTTAAAGGTGCCACTGGAATCAAGTTTGGTCCTTTCTGTATCAGCTGTCCCTCTGCTGAGTAGCGACTGGTATTTGCCACCATTAAAGAAAGTTTTATATAATGAGCTCGTTGCTACATTGCTAGAATGCAATATGAAGATGCCAATATTAGGAGAAGCAGCAGGCCAATTTATTGTGGGGAGGGGAGAGGCAAAGGAACTGTATGGAGTTGTTCTGTTTTGCCAAATGCTGCAGTCATAATACTTGTTATCTCTTGCAGTGCCCTAAACAACTTTTTTTAACTGTCTTAGAGAAAAGACGGCTGTGGTCAAGGCAGCCGACACCATTGACATGCATGGGATTTTGCATCTTTTTAAAGAAAAGGTCCCAAATCACAAGTGGCTTTTCAAACACCTACTCTGCACTGCCCGCTCCTCTGAATGTCATAGTGAATGCTGGGGATTAAAATCACAATTCCTGGCAGCTACAAAGATTTGTGGTTTGTTGGACATTTACTTGAGCAAACTAAACATCCCTTGCACAACTGTGGATTTTAAACTGCAACGCTATTGCCATGCCATATTAAAAATGTATCAAAAGTAAAATAATTTCCACTATCTTACCATCAGCCTTCCATCCCTGATTTTAATAAATATGACACTTCCCTACAACGCTAGATACAGCAATCGCTCATTCATATATCCCCATATGTTTCAACACATATCTTGTTATAATGTGCTCTGCATATTTATATGGGGAAGTTAAATAAGAAAAGTGTGTGTGTGTGGGGGGGGGTCCCTGCCTGCCTAATCAAATGATTTTTGCAAATATGATATTCTTGTTTCCAGGCCCCTCCCCCCGCACCTGTTACTTACTAGCGAACTTTGAGACTAACGAACTCTGATATTCATATCTGAAAGATGCATTTCGAAACAGATGAGTGCAAAAAAGGAAAGGAGCTTTCGACTAAAAAGAGCCCTGCCTTATGGAAAGTAGTTCAATGTACCATGTTTGTATAAAATGGCTCTGAGTGGATTTCAACTCACAATATTATATAGCAAGTATAAACATTGGTTAAGCTCAGAGGGGGGGAAAATAAGATATGTCTTTTGCTGTAACATAATGCAAACCTTCTGGAGTACTTAAGCAAATATGCACACATGTTTAGAATTCTTTTTCTTTCTTTCCCCTATTCAATTTATGTATGCATTGCAGACAAATGCCAGATCTCACGAATATCTGGATACGGCTGGGCAAACGTAGGAAGGAAGGAACATCCTGGCGAATGCAAAACAGAAAAAGCCACTGATTCAATGCTGTGCTGTGGGCTACGATGGTGCACATGGGGATTCCTCGGAGGAACCTGACCTGTGCCCACAAAAAAAGGGTCATGCGCCCAGAATTGGCTCCCCTCCATGGAATGAATAGGGGCATTCCACGGATTCAGTAGAGCTCTTGAACTTGTGCTCCCTCTAAGCTGTGGAATCTTGTGAGCAAAAATTCTACTTTGTGAGCTACTGGCATTAAAGTTTATTTCATAAATTAGTTTGCTCTGCCAGAGCCCTCCTTCCTGAGCTAAGACAAAAGTGTGTGAGACGGAGGCTAAAAAAACGGTGAGCTAGCTCACACTAACTCAGCTTAGAGGGAACACTGCTTGGGACAGATCACGTGATTGTGGAAAACGTTTCTCGGAACGAATTGGGGGGGGGGATTCCAGAACTCCAGGCTTTTGCCCATCCTGATCCGTACCAATCCAGCCATACGATCATTCTAATTACTCCCTTGGAACATTGCTCCTTGACAGCTGCAGGCTGTTCTACAGTTTGCTCAGCTGCATCCAGATAGGGCCATGCTTCTGGATTTGCACTCAATATATGCATTGGCGTTACAGTAGACAAAAAGAAAAGAAAGGAAAGGAAAGAAAGGTGATGTTTCTCCTGGCTAGACATCTTCTCAGAACTATTAACAACAAATACCAAGCCTCTATTCAGCACATGAAAGCTCAGAGGTACTCACCCTGCAAACTGGGCATTGCCAGTGACTACTGCTGTCTCTAAGCCTGAACTCATCAGATAAACACTTGGAATGATACACACGAAAACACAGGTCACATATCAACACCTCTCCAGGCAAATGGCATTCAAAACAATACCAGTCATGAGTTTCTGTCTCCCAGTCCTACAAGAAATACAAAATAATTTGATAGAACATTCTGTCAATATCCGCAGCAGCCAAGAACAATGCACATTTCTCGAAGTCTCGCAACAGGCAGGCATTATAAATATTTAAAGAGTACTGTACCTCCTTGGTGGATTACTTTTTAGAAATTATTATGTAAGTCCCAAACCCTGAAAGCGTTGTGAGCTTTGATACCCCCAAGCATTCTACAGCTTTAACGCCCCCCCAGTGGATGGAAGGCTTTAATTCTTGTTATGAGAAAGTGTTGGGTGAGCAACACAATGGCAATATATATAAAACCACATCCCCAGCTACTTGCCCATATAGATGGTTCTTGACTTGCATAATAGAAATTTAGTATTTACATAAAACTCAGTGGTTTGTTGTTGTTTTTTTGGCCCAATCTGGAAGGAAGGCGATGGGACTGCACTCGCTGCACTTGACCAATTAATGGTGGCAACCAGTCACTGGCTATTCTGTTGGCACTGTGGTTTGGTTCACATTTCCTCACTAAGGTGTGGATGGGAATCCTCCTTTTACTTTCTGGAATTCTGAGGAAGGGAGTGAATGCCTTGAGATCGGCATTCAGTATGGAGAGGAAGAAATGCTTAAGCGTTTATTCAGCACTGTCTTGCGTTGAAACGGCTTCTTGTTGTAAGCCATGGGAGCAACCGTGCAAGGCAAGCCAGTGTCACTATCCCCATGGTGCATATGGGGAGGGGGCGAGTGCTGAGGCTCAGAGACGGTGGTTTGCCTGAGGTCACTCTGTGGCAGAGGTGAGATTTGAATTCTAGATCACCTTGATGGTTCTCTGTAGCTACTGTGCTATGTGGACTTCCAGGAAAAGGACCTGCAACGATGCCCAAGGGAACCTCCTGCCTTCTTCAAAATTCAACCCAGCTGGGAGGAGACTCTTCCACGTGATCAAGGGGAAGGTGTGAACCAAACCTCAGAATGCTCACTGAAATGTTCATCCTAGGAGACTGCCAACATACCTTTGCAACGTATTGTCCATGAATCCAGATACTGAACTATTTGAGCTGAATTTGCTTTGGTTGTGGGTGGGGTACTTCAAAGGATTGTAATGGGGTAAATTAAGCCTATAAATATGACTTCTAAATACAATTCTAAATACAAATGGAAGAAATGCCTCTCTTCCTCTTTCTACCGCTTCCCAGCCTTACTTAGAAAGGGCACAATCCAGCCAAAATAAAAGAATTTTTTACATGCCATTTATTTTAGTGGAAGAGAGTGAAGCAATGGCTGAGTAAAAGGCATTCAATTTATACCTATGTGCATTCCAGTTTCTTTGAAATCAATACACACTGTGCACAATCCGAGACTCAGTTTAACCTGATATGTGCTCTGAAATCCCACTAAAATAAATGGGCTTAAGTGCATCAAACTCTATGTTGGATTGTGGTAACATTCTCTATGGAGTTAAAAATATAGAAATAAATATTCTAGTAGCTGTTTGTCAACTGTATCCCTAACAGGGCCAGCTCTACTGCAGAAACCACACAGAAACATCTGCTTCTGGAGACAATATTTTTAGCGATGACAATGAAGCAGTGTGTGATCGGACAGTCACACCCAGCATCCTTTGCCACACTGCTAGAGATAAATAGGGTGCCTATGTCAGATCATGTGGCCCAATGCCTTGGAGATGCAAAATGTCTCGGGCTTTCACTGATCCCTAAAGCTGCCTCAAGGATAACCTGAGAACACATAACACATCTGCAGTGCAATCCTAGTAGAGTTCAGTCATTCTCAGTCCACTGAATTCAATGGCCTTAGAAAGATGCTTACTAGGCTTAGGATTGCATTGCTGTTTACATTCTAAATCGAGAGCATTTTAGCTCTCTTAAAAATGTCTTATACAAACAAAACTCACTCATCCTTCCATAAAAAATATTAACACAAATTAGGGTACAGCCAAGTGGTTTGTAATTAAATTTTGTGAATATCAAGCAAATTGGAACAGGCAAAGCTTCCAGTACATGTGCAATCAAAACCTTGGCTACACTGAATGTTAAGACCTCTTCATTCTCCCCCCAATAATTACAACCAGCCACCTCCCTGTATACATGTTAAGTGTTTCCATAATTGTATCATATGGGAAATCTTTACAGGCGTTTTCCCAGTCAAATGTATGTAGTATGGGTGCTTAACATGTGCCTAAACACAGATTTTGGCATAATCTGCCAAAATCCAGAGCAATTGCATCGTGCACAGTGCACATATGGATTAATCTGAATGCACCCCTTACTGCCATATTCTGATGACTGGTAAAACTGGAAACCATGAATTCATGGAAAACGAAAGATCAAAAGTCAAGGGACTAGGAAAGGTTTATAAAGGCTATCTGTGTTCTTTTAGGGTAACTAGACAACTTAGCCTCAGTTGACATTTGACAGCCATGTCCATGCAGGCACCCTGAGAATGTGTAGGGCCATGACACTCAGGTGAAGATGCTGTTGGCGTTAACCATCAGCTCTGCATTTGTGGCTGGCTGCTCTGCTTTGCACAACTGTGAGAGCTCAAAAAAAAGAAAGAAAAAGAAAAAAGACCTGGTCTCTGTGAAATAGCATGAGCAAGACAGCATGCCAGAATGGCACTTCTGAACACCTGCCTGTCACAACAGTCACATATGTGGAGTGCAATGTTCCCTCTAAGCTGAGTTAGTGTGAGTTAGCTCACATTTTTTTAGCCTCTGGCTCACACATTTTTGTCTTAGCTCAGGAAGGATGGCTCCAGAGCAAACTTAATTTATGCAGTAGCCAAATCACTCACTCACAACTTTAATGCCAGTAGCTCACAAAACAGAATTTTTGCTCACAAGTCTCCACAACTTAGAGGGAACATTGGTGGAATGCCTTTGCATGAGTGGCACAGCCGGGCATACTCTCCCCTTTGAAGGTGTTCTTTTTTGTTCTTTTTGTGAATTATCGTCTCCTCCTAAGTGTTTGCTATTTGCTGGCACCATCAGAGGTGCTCCCAAATGTGCCACTTTGATTGCATAAAGTGCAGTGGCTACATCAGTTTTTCGTGAATGCCACAGTTCACACAAATAACATCTCTCCATAAGTTTGGTCTGGTGAAGTGACAGCCGCATACACTTCCAAAGCATTTGCATAGGGGCCACCACCAAGCAGGAACAGCCCTTAAAATTTTGTCTTTCTGCTTTTGAAAAAGTTTCCAACCCACTACATCCTTTAAAATCAGGTTAGTTACAGCAGCATCAGAATACTACCATATATATGCAATAAATATATATTCTACACCAGTTAAAAAAAATGACTTTATAAACTATTCCTTTATTTATTTCATTGGTTCCTTCTTAGAAAACTATAGTGGATTTAAATAGCTCTCAGATTATCTTGTTCGCCAAAGAATGAACAAAATATTAAATTGAATTAAATTTCCACACGATGCATTCCCCTTCCTATTCTTTGTATACGTTTGCCAGTAGAAAAAGGCTCAATTAAACATGAAAAAAAAGTTTGGACACGATCCACTGGGATGTCTGCCTGCACACGTTCTACTGAAATGAAGGGTAGCCCCACTAGATAGCTGCCAGGCCTTCCGCGGCTCTCCTCCATTTCAGTATGGCTTGTGAGTACAACACCCTAATGAATCAGGCCCTTATTATTCAGAATGAAACTATTAATTAATTATTAATTAGCTAACCTCACACACACACACACACACAAAACCCCAACAAGGAAATATAAGTTGCAATTACACCATTGCTGATGGGGTTGTTTAGGTGACATTTGAAACTAGCTGGAGGACTGATGTCTCACTGGTCTCCTAGCTGCACTGTAACCACTACAGGCTCTTTCACCTTCCATCCTAGCAACCTGGACCCAGCTGACCCGGGTCACAGCCTTATATGTTTAATGGAGCACAACAGCTTCAACAACACTAGATCAGCAAGAGGCTTTTCTGCTCCGCTGTCTGATAGAGGAGGCGAGAACTATGTTGACACCCATCCATCACTCTCACAGTGTTAAGTACCTTGTGGGGCAAGCGAGGCTGGATGGATGTGGATGACTATGATGCAGTGCAGAAGTGCTGCAAATGATAGAGGGCCTTTTTTATGGCGAGCTTGAGAAGCGTTTGGGCTTTAAGGGCTTTTTAAAAAACAACTGTTTGCAGAGAGTTATGCCAAGGATGCCCTTTGTAAATGCATTCTCAAGTCAAGGACACACATGGTGCATCACCAGACACAGCAGAGAAAACATCTCTGTTAGCATTTTTTGGGTCAAAAAGTTTTAAAGCTTGTTGTTTTAGTGATATGCCTGTGCAAAGAGACAGAGATAAAACAGAGAGAGAGATTCGTAACAAAGAAAACAATCGTGATCATGTTGAAGAAGGGGGCGGGTGGGAGGAAACCGGTTGAAGCAGGAGGGTAGTCGGACTACTGCAGTTTGTACATGGGTGGCCGCATCTATATGCTTGTATTTCTAATGTAAATCTCCAAGTGGGGAAAAATGAATAGTTACTTTTTAAAAAATGTATTGTGTTTTTAAAAATCAACAAAGAACTTCAGCTGGAACACTATGAGGACCAAAATGCATGTTACTGGCAAGAGACTGAACTTCTGACAAACATCTCATGGCAGACATTGTGTGCATCGTGATTAAGTTAAGAGCTTAGCAGTTCCAAATTTAAAGTCAAAAATCAAGATTTCAAAAACATTACCCCATAATCTGCACATGTGTTGGGACATTTGCAGGACCAGGATCTAGGTGGCTATCTGCCACGTAATTTCCTTGCACAAGGAAGAAGGTATTTATGTAAATTTTAACATCTGGCTGCCAGCATTCCAGTAATGGCAGACATAAAGCTCCCAAAATCTAAGTAGGAATGCCAGCCATGTCTGCACTTGCAAAGTCTGCCACCAGATGTCATCAGTTCCTCCCAAAATAACTGATGGGGGGGGGGGAGAAACCATTGCAACTTCACATCTTGTGGCGTAACAGAGTTACCATTTTCCAGCTCCCCAGGAAGAAGAAAGAAAAAAAATTAACAACAGTCCCGTAAAGTGTGGACCGATTTCAGAACTGCTTGGAACATAGATCATATGATAAGCATGATTAACACATTTATTGAAAATTAAGAAGTGACAAGCTAATCTACCCTAGTGCATATCAGAAAATGTCAATAAGAGAAAATACAACAGGAAATTCAAGACTGCATAGTGCAAAAGTTGTTCACCTTGATTTTTGCTGTGGTCCGGGAGAAAGGCTGCATACTGTAGGCCTTTCAAAATAAAGAAAACAAAAACAAAAAAAACACACACATGGTCGCTGTACTGGAACCCATCTGAGTCACACAGGGCTAAAACGAATTGAGACATGGAGATGGCGAAAGCATACTATTACAGATAGCATCCTGACGGCATATATTTTCCCCAAACAAATTCTATGGGCTGCTCTGTCTAGAGTCATTTCCCCCTTTTTTTTCTTTTCTGCTTCTGAAAGCTTTCCAAACAATGAAATTAATTAAAGAAATTTTTAAAAAAACCCATTCGAAGAAGCAAAAGGAGCTAAACTGGGTCCATCTCTGGCCCTCTCAGAATAGCAAAGGGATTAATAAATTCACTACACGATCCCTGGGGGGGAAACGCATGCTTATGACGTACTGCAATGGTGTCAACACTTCGGAAAATCCAGGAGGTACTTTAAAAAAAAATTGTATTATTAGCAATTGCCCCATAGTTTAAAAAAATGTTTTGGCTCATATTTGAAAATAAGAGGGGGAATATATAGGGAATTACTATCAAGGGGAATCAGAAACTCTAGCCCAAATTTGCAAAGGTGTTTTATTTACCTGTAGAAGTGGAGGCCTGTGTGGAGTTAAGCTACCAGCAGACAACACAAATCATTATCAGGGGGGGAAAATAGCAGTTTACTCCTAAACAGATTTAAATCCTTCTAAGTCAACTGAAGTCAATGAGTTTAGAAGGGCGCAGCTCTGTTTGGGTTGCACTATAATAATGCAACCCTATGTAGGGTTACCCCAGTCTAAATGCACTGAGGTCTATGACTTAAGACTGGAAGTACTGAACTGGTGTTCATTAGCAAATCTGGGACAATGTACCCCCAGGGGTTTAACAGGGACCTTGGATTCCTAACTCACTTCAGGTGCTAACATCTTCTGTATCCCGCCCTCACAGGTGCCAGTTTATGATCTCATTCCATCCTGCACTGGACTTTTGTCTGTATTCTACTTTGTTGTTGGTTAGTTAGAGGTACTTCACATCCACCTGTATTAATGTATTACTCCTCAGACTGGATCTTGCCTTACACTATGGCTGCCAACTGCCAGGTGGGGCCTGAAGATCTCCCAGAATTCCAACACATCTCCAGATTGAACGTATCAGTCCCCCTGGAAAAAAAATGGCTGCTCTGGAGGCATTGTACCCCAAACCCCACCCTCCCTAGTCTCCACCCCCCCCAAACATCAATGAATTTCCCACCCCTGGAACTGGCAACTGACTGGCTTCTATTTAGAACATCCCTCTACCCCCCCGTACATAAGTTATGAATGCCAGCATCTAGGTGGGACCTGAGGATCCCCTGGAATTACAGCTCTACTCCAGACTACAGAGATCAGTTCCACAGGATAAAATGGCTGCTTTGGAGGGTAGACTCTATGGCATAGCACCCCACTGAGGTCTTTGTCCTCCCAAGAATCCATCCCCAAATCTCCAGGAGTTCCCCAAGCTGGATATGACAACCCTACCCCCCCATCCCCCGCCAGTGGCTGGGAGGACCTGGCAACACTAATATAAAATCAGGTCAATGGTTGCATACACTTCACACATCTGAAGAAGTGAGCTTTCACTCACAAAAGCTTATCCTGAAATACAAACTATGTTAAGTCTTTAAGCTTCTACTTGATTCTGGCTTGGATTTAAGTAACTCTGCATAGGATTGCATTATAATTATGGTTCCTGTACAGGGACTGACCAAACCTTCCCTCCTTCTCAAAAGAGGCGTGATTTTAATACAAAACGATACAGTAAAGTACTATATATGTTTGAACGCACACATACACGAGGGTCTGGGCTTATGTTGTCAATACGAATTGTAGTATATATGGAGAACTTGGTGTGTTGCTAACCTATTTTTATTTGGTGCTTCATATTGTGTGTGTTTGTGTGTGTCATATGTCCTTGGAATTTACTGAGCACCTTGAGGGCCACCCTGCATAGCTGATGGGCTATGGTCAGCCTGGTGGGTCACAATATGTGAAAACCTGGCATGAAATAACTGGAGCTCAGAGCTACTTCCCATATGACTACAGAGTCCTTGCTCATCACTCCTGTTTCCACAGCCTCAGTGTACACTGGGTTCATATACATGTGCAGCTGGATCATGGACAGTGTATTTGGGATCAAGGAAATTGTTAAACACCTAGTAAATACAGCCCATTTTTAAATTAAACCCAGCTACATTTGTGTAATGCAAAGAAAATATTGTTACTGTATCTATCAAGGACACAGATCTTTAGATGTGGTCCAAACAAGAGTGGAGGTGTAGCTGTAAGTCAGTTAGAGGAAGTGAAAGTATCTCACACCCTCATGGATACTTCGGTCTGGCCACATGCATACAGGACTGGAATTATGAGCAGGCAGTGTGCCTTCTGCAATTCTGTGGAAGCTTTAAAAAGTCAGAGAACTTGGTACTGGGCACAGAACTGAGTAACCTGAGAATATCTGTTTACTTTTTAAAGCAAGGTTCTAGCCCTCGTGGCTGAGAAGATATAGTCAGTGCACAGTGAAATCCCCAGAGATTAAAGAGGGCACAATAAGAGGTTGGTGGTGAAACTTGTGCCTTTTCCTAACTAAAAGTATTGTGGCAATCATGCAAATTAAGGAAATAAATTGAAATTTGCTTGATTTATATAGATTTTGGAATCCAGTTTAGCTGGAAGAAGGATTTTTACTACCAGGGTACAAAAATCTATTGTTTTTTTTAAAAAAGCAAAAGATTATGTCCAACAGGGATCTTGTAGCCATTATAGCTAATCAGTCTATAGTTGGTCCGCACTGCAAAGCTGTGCATTATGTGAAGTACAGAGAAAGTCTTTGGCCAATCTCAATTCACACTTTCCATCTTCTGTATTCGGACAATGCCACCTAAAACTGGGGGCAATAGCACTTCTACTAACTTAGGTCACACGATGCCAAAAACTGGAAAAAGGAAAGAAAAGGTACTTGGAAGTATGCACAGATCTTGCATTTTCTGTTTACATCTCAACTACCCTGTCCATCAAATAATAGGTCTGCAACTCAAATACTGTTTTACTTTGAAAGCAGCAACTATGTTTAAACTTTTAAAACGAGACCTATACATAAGAGCAATTTTACTTTGCTGGTGAAACAGCACAATTTTCCTCAAGTGTTGAAACTATATAAGAGTTGATAATTTGATTTTTAATTTTTTTTTAAAGAAAAGCTCTGAAAAGCCAGGCTGTGTGTTGTCACATATAATTAAAACAGATTGCAAGATAAGACCATTAATTAGGTCAAAGGTAAAATATTACAGTTTAAGTTCAAGGTTGGGCTCTATAGCTCTTCCCTAGTCAAGTAGGGGATGACTGGAGAGTTTTCATGGCACTCACCTACATCAAGAAGTCCTGGGCTCTTCTAACACCCAAGATTTTAAAGGGTAAAATTGGCCAACCCATGCTACCCCTATACCCAGTGAGCCCCCTAAACTTTCATCTGGTAGTTCCTCTGATGCCATTCATCCGGGGCCCCCTCTGCAAAAGAACATACGAACAGCCAACTCTCGGTCAGACCAGTGTCCCATTCCAACAGCAACCAATTCTAGGTGCTTCAAAGAAATCCTAGAGCAGGGCAATTATGAAATAAATAGTTAATCCTTGATTCATACATGGGTGAATTTATTCCTTACCGCCCCCCTCCCCCAACCTTTTGTCATGTTTTTTTAGACTCCTACCATAGGCCCGGATCCAACGAACTTTGCTACCAGTTCTGTGTGCCCAAAGGAGCTTTAGGTTCCTCATGGTAAATCTTTTCTGGGAATAGGGAAATTCCCTCCAAAGCAGTTTGTAATATGGCAGGGATGCTTCTGCTGTTTAAAGGGGGGGGGGGAGAGTCATAAATTTCAATCGGCATACCCAAATCCTTGGGTATGCCTATATACTAGCTCTTTGGATCCCGGCCTATGGCCCTATGCCTTAAAACTGATCTACAGAGTAAAAACGTAATTGTATTCACATCACTTACACTCACTAAATTGTTTTTAATGAACTATCTTCATTTACCTCAGAGGTTCTCATCCATCTGATCATCAATTTTGGATCTTAAACATTCTGCCTTAAAAAATTAAACCTGTACTGTCTGAGACTATTAAAGAAACTCATTTTCTATCCTTCGTCAGCTTTAAAAGCAAACTATTCTAAGTCCCTGCACATAAGCTGCTAGTAGTAACTGCAAATATCAGACTGAGGGTCAACATTCCAGGAAATACAATGTAAATCCTTGTAGAAAAATATACTCACAATCTCATCTCCAGGCAGCCAGTATCCTTCTTGCTCAATACCGGCTTTCGACCCCTTACATCCCACTGTCAGGGTTTCAACAACAAGGCCATCTTTCACCGCTAAACTAAGCTGACGTGTGGTCTCTTTGGGATGCATACCGTGAACCCGAGACATGTACCTGTGAAGTGAGCAGAAAAAGAAGTTCTAACAAAACAGCCGACACACTCTTGTTTTTAAAACACGTTCCTCATTTCTTCTCTGTCCCCCTTGCATTCCACAACCTTTTCCATATTCATTCAAAGAGAAAATTTCTTCACCATACTGTTCACAGAAGCTCACAGGTTTCCTAAAACTCTGGCAGGATTAACTTCTCTAAACCAAGAGACGAACATCTGAGTCTCCATCAAGCATCATGCAAGCTGGACGTCTCTTTTCCTCAGGCCAACACAGTCTTGCTTCTAGAAGAAGTGCTTTGCCCACAACATGAAAGAGAAAGCCTTTCCTCCCCTTTGGTCAAAGGAGTGGCCAAGACTGGGCTTATGCATTCTGTAGCATGCACCCTCCTTTCCAGTTTGACAGCCAGAGATCAAAAGACAAGCCTTGCCAGTGACGTTAATTAACTCAGCAAGTTCCATTTAAGATAGTGCAACAATGTAGACTTGGAGCCAATCCAACTGACACTTTTGTGCCTTGTGGAGTGCTGAAAATCTTCAATTCGTCTTGGACAAGCTGGCAACCTGGGAGCATGGAGAATACGTTCAAATGACCGCGTCAGTGCAGAATCAGTGCTCAGACTATACTATGTCATGCCGACCATGTCATGAGAATTGACAGAGGAATAAAATATCTAACTTTTTTATTTTCAAGACAATTTGTTTCCTGCTATTCCATGGGATAAACCCCTTGTAGGATATGAACTTTGGGGTTGTGGCCAGTTATAAAACTGCCACTTGTCTACTCTTCAAAGCACCTGTAAGAGAGGTCTGGCCAGGTCTATGGAAGGAAGGGCAGAAAAGCAAAATCCTAATTTTTACCAGTTTTACAGCAATATCGCATACATCCTTTCAGAAAAGCTGTTTTCCGTTAAAGAAATGAAAAAGAGAAAAGACTTTAGAAAAATTATAATTTGGGTGTGAACTGGATTGCCTACTAGTATGAAGAGTCAACCAGCCCTTTTTGAATTGTTGACAAGTGATGCAAATAAATCCCACTGTCAGAGACAAATATATAGGAAGTGATATAAAGCTGAAGCAGAGGTGAAGATGTGAAGGTGGAAATTTCAATGTCTTCAGATCTTAGTGTGTAGATTGTCATGGGTATGAACGCATCAACAAACAGGCACAAGAACACATGTCAGTCTATCAAACAATGCAGTTTTTAATTCCATTTCTGAACTTTTAAAATATATTTATTTAAAATATTTACTAGCCACCCTTCTTCCTTACAGAGCTCAAGGCAGCTAACGATAGTAATAAACACACAAAAGAGATCACGTTAAAAAACATAAAACCAAAATTAAGAATCAAAATTTAGGACAGATTTAATCAAATGCAGTCCTAAATAAAACCAAAATAAAATGTTCCACAAGTGTGTGCCAATCTGTTGACTGTCCTACTACTTAAGAGTGGCTGGGCTGGCACTGACCAAAGCCCAGCCCTTTCCCACCAAGTCTGTTGTGGAAAGAGCTCCCTGAAGAGGGGAGGGGAGTCCCCTCCTTGGAGATCTTCAGGTGGTGCTGCGAGGCCTGCCTGCCAGGGCTCATGAGGGGGGTTTGAATGGCAGGCATCTTATAAGGGAGGGGGGAAGCAGGGAGAGATTTGGGGTTTGCTATTTTATTTTTTATTTAAATTTGATTTTTAAAAACTATTATTGTAAGCCACCCTGAACCACAAGGAAAGAGGGGTATAAATATTTTAATACATAAACTCTTTTTTTACGTTTATTTTTCATATTTTCAACAAAGTTACAAACATTTCACTTCACTAGATTACATACATTTTTAGAGGCATTAAATCAAATTGCATGTCTTATACCAAATGTTAACTGTTTATCCTTTTTCACTGTTATACTGTTACATGATTTATCCAGTTATATACCCTTAACCATCTTTTATCCTGTAATTTGTGGTCTTTAGCCTGAAGTATTAAACTCAAGTTTTTGAGGGTATTTTATCCGTCTTCCAGTTTTTTGCCACTAATATTCTCGCAGCAGTTATAATATATACTGATATGTATATATCTTGCTTAGCATAGCCTTTTGGAACTATATTCAGTAAATAAGTTTCGGGTGTTAACAAGACATCTAGGTTCAATATTTCTAAAATAACTTTATGTACCATTTTCCAGTATTTTTGTATTTTACTGCATTTCCACCACATGTGGAAAAAGGTCCCCACGTTCGACTTACATTTCCAACATTTGTTGGATGTTTGGGGGTAACACTTTGCAATTTTATCTGGGGACAGATAAATACATAAACTCTTAACTATACATAAACTCTTAACTATCTATTATAAAAAGTAACATAGGTTGCCATTGTTGCTCTTTTAATTTCAGTTATTTTGAAGCACAAAACGGCCATGCAGAAAAAGAAATAATAATTTCCAAAGGGGGGGGATGTCAACAATTCAAGATGCAAGCATCTTGCTAACTGTAAAGGTATGCATTTCTCCTTTGGAGGTTTGAAATGAGCGAACCCATCATTCTGAGTTTTAAAAGTCCCCCCTCCCTCTGGCCATAGAACAGGCAGGGAGGAGGAAGTCAGTTCATTTGCTTTCCAGACATACCTCAGCCCACTTTCATACAAATGCTAATAGGTGTAACAGGGAACAGACTCCAAGCAGGGAACAGAGATTTGGAGGAATTAGATACTAGAAAGACTTCAGAAAGGAAATTTCTGGAGATGTCAGGAAGAGCTTCGCTGACCTGGCCTGACCGGGTCAGTGGCTGGGGGAAAGAAAGTTGATAAAAACTCCTTGCAGCAAGAAGGCTGTCTCTTTTGGTCTCAGGGCAGACAGAACTCCGAACTGAGGTCTGGACAAGATGGCCATTAGCCATGTGCTGGGCCCGGGGAGCTACAGAAAGCTTCAAGGTAATGGGAATTCTGTAGAGATTTGTAATTTCCTAAGCTTTAGGAACCTGTCCTATTTTAACATCTGGTAGGGCATGTATAGAGAGAGGGACAGAGGATTTGCGTTTTACCCATTTCTTTTGAATCCCTTGCTCAATCTGGTGGTGTGCTAAAAGCATGCTTGTGAATATTTTCTTTTTAATAAATACTTAAAACTTTTGATGCTGATAGTGGTTCTCTGTACCACATAGACCTCCACTGTCTCGGATATGCTATTTTAAAAGGAGCACTGGGGGAAGGCAGACAGTTGGCAAGTGGCTATTCCTCCAACGGTGTGCAGGGCAGTAAACTGTCCCAGTAGTGACCAGGTGCTAGGCAGTGGGAGACACAGAGGGAAGACCTCAGATCTTGGAAGGGAAGCTGGGAGTCCTCACCCTCCCAGCGGGCAATTCCTTACAGAGGTCAGGCGGTGGTGGTGGGCTCTCTAGGAAAGCCTCTCCAGACAATGGAAAAACTCTGGAGGTCAGGGCGGAATAGGGCCTGCAGGTCAGAGCAAGCCCATTCCGCCACACTAACTACTAAAGAAAACAAACTTGCACTAGTTAAAACAAATGTATAAAGGAAAATAAACCCGATGAGCCACTTTCAGGTGTTAATGTAATCCAGAAGGAGAAACCTCCCTCTTTGCACTGATTTAGCAGACAGGTAAGCAGAAAGGTGATGGCTGTGCCCCTTGACCGATATGCAACAGAGAGCTGAAAGCCAAGAACAAGGAATGTGAAAGGCCCTCAGCAGGGGCTCTCACTAGTTGCTCCCTCTACCAGTGATTGACTTCACAGAGGCCACGAAGGAGAATAGTCTTTCAATCCAGGATGGAGAGGTCTTTGCTCTATTACGAGCTCACTGCTAGGTGGAGAGAAAACTCCCACGCTAGTGATTAATAACAGGGTGTCGACTTTTGCTGCCACTGGGTCTCAAGGACTTCTGATGCTGAAGTCAAGATGTCAAGAAATAAAAGGGAGAAAAGTGTGGTGCAGGACAGAGGCGGAGATAAAGCGATTCCTCGCTGTTGTTCCCTGGAAAGATCTGATTAGCCTTACCTTGGAAGAAAGCAGCTGAGGCAAACTATTTGTGTTACCAGACTGTGTTCAGCCTCTGGTCAACAGATTGGAAAGCATATTACGTTCCTTAGGCTGCTTCCAGAGAGGCAGGAGAAGCAAAGCAAATCTGCTTGCAGATAGGGCCGTACATGGCGTGGGGACAAAATTAATTCCCATAAGACGCCAGCCCAGCCTTTAATCAGGCAGGATGCTAAAACAGCTCTTCAGTAACACAAGAGTCAGGGGAAGCTACTGCTAATCTCCAGTAGCTAAAATACAGACCTGTCTGCTTGAAATAAAGAGGTTCTTCCTGATAATCTGCTTGTTAAATTCCTGATCTGGCCAGATGAGGCTGTTTGCCCACAGGACACAGAAGGGAGAGAGGGGGGGGATTTAGGCTGCCACTCAGTAGTTGAGTATTTATAGCTCAGTATTAGGATTTCTTCATCTGCAAACAAGGGCAGCAAACCCCATTTGGATTAGCCAAAAAGTCGTGCTGCAAGATTCCTGTGCAACACCCACAAAGGTAGGTTATCAGTAAACAATGCTGCCCCGTTTAAGTACCACCTTCATTCAGATGCCACAAACCAATCTCAACTTGCTCATGGCTGGTTTATGTGCTCCCATCCCAATCTCCTCTCATGCTGCATCCTGAGACAGAAGTGGTGTGCTGATTAAGGTGTTGGATTAGGAGCTGGGAAGCCCAGGTTCAAATCCCTGCTCTGACAGGGATAGCGTTGCCAGCTCTGTGTTGGGAAATACCTGGAGATTTGGAGGGCGGAGCCTGAGGAGGGTGGGGTTTGGGGAGGGGAGGGACTTCAATGGGGTATAGTGCCATTAAGTCCACCTTCCAAAGTGGCCATTTTCTCCAGGTTGCCTGGAGATCACTTGTAATAGCAGGAGGTCTCCAGCCACCACCTAGAGGTTAGCAAGCCAAGCCAGGGAAGCTTGCTGGGTGACTTTGGGCCAGTCATAGACTCTCAGTGTAGCCTACCTCATAGGGCTGTTG